TGGTTGAGAATTATAAATACTTGAGGACTTTTTTTGTAATACTTTCAACTGCCTTGTCCAAGATAAATAGTTACCAGATGGGTTTCTGCAAATTAAAAGTGCAGTTGGCCTGTACACAAGCAAAATACAGAGATAATTAGACCACAGTCCAAAGACTGAACAAAGTAAAAAAAAAAGGCAGGACCAAGGTAAATGATATCAATGAAATTATATCAATGTCTAGGATGATAAAGTGCAACAAGAGAGAGCCAACAATGGCTACAGGCAGCGAAGGACATGCTGGGGTAGTGTGGAGATGTTCATGGTGGTGGGGTAGCGTTACCTCAAACCTTAGGGGCGAGACAACTGGAAGGAAGGTAGGTAGAGCTACTATAATCAGTCATCTGCTTTCGGATCTTGGATCTCTCTGCTTAAGAAGTGGCCCTGTTCTCAGCCCCTGAAGAATGGTGTATAAGAGACATAATAAATATGGTACACCCCGTCAAACTTGAATGGTGCTCTTACTGTGGCATCATCCCAGTGAGAAGTCTGTGGTCTTTATTATTTCCACTATACCCCCAACGAAACAGTTTCAGAGAGGTTAAGTAAAGTTCAGATCACAAAAGTAGTTAAAGACAAAGATTTTAACACAGGTCTCTGCTGGAGTCTAAATCTCATTGTTACCTTCCATGTTCTCCTTGCCCTAATCAAACAAAATAGTCTCTGCCTTCAAGTAACTCTCAGCCTAGTGAAAAATATGAAATTTATTTTAAATTACAAATTATTTGTTAAAACCTGGACTCAGTATATCATTTTTGGTGAGTTGATGGTACTTGTAGAGGCACATAGTTTTGACCGTGTTATTTTAAAGTGTGTTGGGAATGTAGAATGATCTAGTATAGTTTGTAATCAGAGAAGTTTGATTATAGTATTGGTGTTGATTCCTCAGTTCACCAAAAATAATTGTCTTAATATTGTCTCTTTCTTGCTTTCCCTTCTATTTTAGACCTGAGTTTTTATTTATCTTTAATTAAAAGTATTAAGGTGACATCAATTAATAAAATTATGTAGTTTTCAACTGTGCAATTCTGTGATACATCATTTGTGTATCACATTGTGTGCCCACCACCCAAAGTCAAATCTTCTCCCATCACCATGTATTTGAGCCCCCTTTACCCTTTTACTACCATCCAAACCCACCCATCTGGTGACCCCCATACTGTTGTCTGTGTCTATGAGTTTTTGTTTGTTTGTCTTGTTTGTTCATTTGCTGCTTTCAGTTTTATATGCCATGACATATTAAACCAGATGTACATAACTGACATTTACAGAACCTTTCACCCCAGAACACCACATCATACATTCTTCTCCAGTGCACATGGAACACTCTGAAGAATAGACCATAATGTTGGGACACAAATCTAACCCCAACAAATATAAAATTGAGATTTTTTAAAATTTTATTTATTTTTAGAGAGGGAAGGGAGGGAGAGAGAGAGAGAGAGAGAAACATCAATGTGCGGTTGCTGGGGGTTATGGCCTGCAACCCAGGCATGTACCCTGGCTGGGAATCAAACCTGGGACACTTTGGTTCCCAGCCCGTGCTCAATCCACTGAGCTACGCCAGCCAGGGCTTAAAATTGAGATTTTTTACATCAGACTCTGTTCTCACTTTTTCTGATTTTAATTGTGAAAGACTGAGTCTTACTCATTTCTACAATCTCATCACTAAGCCAAGTGTCTATCACATAGATCATGATTCATCATCCATTCATGACATGAACACATTTCTATGCAGTAAGCATTCAATGAATAGAAATTGACTGTTTCCTGTTGGATAGACACCTAATGATGGCACATCCTTGTGATAAACATTATCCATGTGTAAGCCCTGGGTGCTGTGACACCTTAGGATGGAACTTAACCTAGTTTAGTAAAAAGATTTCTAGAGAAGTGTTGTTTAAGCTGAGGTCTAAAGGAAGAAGTGGAGAAAGGAAAAAGATTGAAGAACTTGTAGAAATCAAAAGACATTTCTAGCAGAAAGAAGAATGACATGTAAAGACATTCTGGACCTGCAATTTGTTCAGTTTGCAGTTAGGTTGGAGGGTACAGTTGGGGGAAGGGTGAGAGTAAGAGGACTATGAGGAGGGAGGCAGGAAGGAAAAATGTTCAGTCAATGTTAGAAGGATTATTTTAAGAAGCAATGTATCACACAATGCAATTCATTAAAAATTTCTAAGATTAATCATTTAAAATATAAATTTTCAACCCCTTTATCTTATAACACATTTTATAAAATTAAAAAAATTAAGGTGGATTACACCCTGATAATTTCAGAGACCTGATATTTGTGTATGCATATGCATATTTATTATATATCTACTTTGTTACAATTCTATGGTTTGTGCCATGCTTATCATTAGGGATATTTGCCTCATGATCAAAAGGCTTTATTAGTGGTTTGAGCTATTATTATTTATTCATCTATAAAGGTTATAAAGCTTCTGTTAATTCATTTTCCAGGAACTATTATTTTAAATCCTGAAAGTTTTCTGATTTTAGCTTTTAAATGAAGAAGGGTAAAGTCAGTTCTACTTATTAATTTAATTAATCAGTTTCTAAATTTGGGGAGACAATATGCTTAAATGAAAGGACTGCATGGAGATGCTTATCACAAACCCACTTTTAAGTCGTAGTTCTTTGGCAAATATGTTGTGTTTTTTCATTGGTAATTTTGTTACAGAACAATGCGGGGGAGTGCCTGGGATGATATACTATTACTGAAAGGAACCCCCCAGGTTCGTTATGTCCACCAACAGAGGAAAGACTTTTCTCAATGCCAAAGATTTGTGAAAAGGAAAGGAAATGTTTATTTAATGCTATACAGACTTAAAGTAGTGACCTAATGTCTTCATCAAAATCCCAAAGTCCCTTAAGACACCCAAAAACACAAACAGCCCTTCCTTCCCCCTTTGCCCAGTCTGAGGTACCATATCTCAGGAAAAGAAATAGAAGTCTGTGGCTCAGGTAGCCCCTGATTCTTCTCAGTAATCCATCTCAACTGGTAGGCCTCCCTCAGTTCCCAGCGCCATCAGCTGTGTCACCAGGACCTCTACTAAAGCCAGGTGGTGGTTCCCCCTTCTAAAGCTGTGAGGGTCCCCATTCTGGCAAAGCTGTGTGGCTCTCCTTTCTATTGCCACAGCTGCATGGTTCTCTCTCCGCAATGGCTGCGAGGAGGGGGGGTCGCCATTCTGCCAAAGCCGAGTGGTGGTTCTCTGCTAAATCCACATGGTGGTTCTCTCTCACAGGAGGGTGGAGTACACACTCTGCCAAAACTGCATGGTTCTCCCTCCAATGCCTGATGCGTCTGGGTTTAAATCCCCACACCAATCTTCCTCTGCAGCCCCATTTCCGACTCCTCCCACAATTGGCTACACTTGCCAGCACTCTCATATCCTTCCAGCTTTACTGGGCTGCCATCATGAGTCTGTGCTGGTATGGCTGCATGTTTTGGAGCCAATCGTCTCCAAGCTCCCAAGCAGGCGCTGTAACTCAGGGGACCTGCTTCCAGTTACATCTTGGTGGGGAAGTTACTTCCATTTCCCTGGCTCAGAGCTTGGTTACAGCTATTTAACATATTTATGCAACCAGTTAAAGGTTATAGATGTGTTAAATGACCACAGGAGAGGTTAGCTGCAAAGCTGTTGCTATGAGGAAGAGCTCTCAATGGCCCTGCTCCATGTGCCCCTTCCCCCAACCCCCACCTGTGGGGGGTGCGGGTGAGGACATCCTAATATTTCCTGGACACCTTGAGTTCTGGACCCCATTCCAAATCCCTATTTGGGGTCCCCCCTCTTGGCTGCACCCTGTTACAATATAACTTCAAAATTGGTGTAACATTTTCTGTTGAGGTAGCCAATAAGGATTATTGAATTGAATATAGTTTGCAATGCTTGAAAGAATAATGTGTTACTTATAAAATTTTTTTTATCACAAATCCAGTACTTTGTTTTTGATGGATTCAAAAAGAAGGAATCTTAAGTAGACATTAAAATTTCTTTAAAAAGCATTACAATCTTTGTATTACTTTAGTTGTTAATGCATAAAGTTTATCTATATTATTATTATTATCTATATTATTATGATAATGTTTGAAGAAACTTTGTATCACAGTATACTGTTTTCACTTTTGCATTTTATAAATGAATGGTTCTTTATATCTATGAACACAGAAGGATGGATAGTGTGTTTGATTCTCCCACACCATAAAGAAAACTATCATTTGCAATTTTTATCATCATTCTTTATGACAAATAGTGCTAATCTTGCAGACTGTACCTTTACCATATACAATGGAAATTAAGTTGAGCTTGAATTCATATATTTTTGATTTGTGACTTGATCCACGGGGTTAAAAGACCAATCAAACATAAGCCATTTTGCTTGATCTATGGAGTTGAAAGGGAAGTGGGGAGATTAATGAAAGGATGATCAATCAGTACTGGAAACTAGGAACAAATAGAGTTGTGTTCTCCCTGGCTCTGTCCCTTTCTCCACAAACACTAACTGAGCATCTCCTGTGAGTCGAATACTGAAAAGATGAAAGAATTATCACGTTACATACAATCCTTTATTCGTTTTGGGGACACAGATCAGGTTTTAGTCCTAAAAGTTCTTCAACTGTATGTAGCACATGCAGTTAAATATTTAATCGTGACATATGATTGAAAATGCCCTGCAGGCATTTCGCTCTGCACTTTAAAAACTATAGTAAAACCACTACAAAGGATTCACCCCACTTAGTCTGTTTACAATCACTGCTCTCAGCCAACATAGTAATTAAAGATGAGAGGTTGGCTTTTTTTGGTTGTTTGTTATAATCCAAACCTCTTCCCCTCCTCGCCCCGGTCCACTTTAAACTACAGTGTAAGAGGGGAAAAAACAAACTAGTTTTACTGGGTGAACGGGGGCGAAGGAAGGAAGGACGGGAGAAAAGGGAAAGAAGGAGAGGGGAAGAGAAGGACAGACTGATGGAAGGTGGGATTGAACGAAGGAGAGGGACTGTCCTTTTCCCCATTCGATTTGTAAATTCCCTGCTCTCTTCTCCAGCCTCCCAGCCAGGGAGCATCTCCTCCAGACTTGGACCCCGGCCCCGCCCCCTAGCGTTGGAGCCGGCGAGCCTGGGGCTGGCGCTTATCTCTTTAAATGACAGCTGTGGCTCGGGTCCCAGCCCGGGCTTGACGTCAGTGCCGCCTCCCCGGCTGCGAGGAGTAGTTAGCGCCACCGTCCGCGCTCGGGACTCGCGGCGCTCCGGCGAGCTGCTGGGGCGGCGAGTTTTCTTTGCTCCCACCCCTCTCTCACCCTCCCCTCGGAGAGCCGAGCGGCGGCGTTAAGAGCCTCTTGCAAGTCTCTCTCACACTTCCCCGCCGTCGCCCCAAAGGAGCAGCCGCTCCTCCTAGCGCCTCCACCGCCTTCACCTCCGTCACCGTGGTGCCCGCTGAGCTCCTCTCCCGCGCTTCGCTCCCCCGATGGAGACCGAGCGCCGCGGTCGCCACCGCTGCCCCCAGCCCTGAACCGGGCCGCCCCGGCCCGAGGAACGTGCCGTCCGGCCCGAGGGCGCACCAGGCGCGCGTCAAGGCCGGGGGCCGGCGAGGGTGCAGGTCGCGGGCTTCGGGAACCAGAAAGTGCGGCTTTCCCGGGTCCCCTGGCCAGCGGCGGGGCGGACCATGGCTTTGAAGGACACGGGCAGCGTCGGCAGCACCATCCTGCCCATTAGCGAGATGGTCTCTTCGTCCAGCTCTCCTGGCTCGTCGGCGGCGGCCGCCCCGGGGCTCTGCGCGCCCTCGCCTTTCCCGGAGGTGGTGGAGCTGAACGTGGGCGGCCAGGTGTATGTGACCAAGCACTCGACGCTGCTCAGCGTCCCGGACAGCACCCTGGCCAGTATGTTCTCTCCCTCCAGTCCCCGGGGCGGCGCGCGACGCCGGGGCGAGCTGCCCAGGGACAGCCGGGCGCGATTCTTCATCGACCGGGACGGCTTCCTTTTCAGGTACGTGCTGGATTATCTGCGGGACAAGCAGCTAGCGCTGCCCGAGCACTTTCCGGAGAAGGAGCGACTCCTGCGCGAGGCCGAGTACTTCCAGCTCACCGACCTGGTCAAGCTGCTCTCGCCCAAGGTCACCAAGCAGAACTCGCTCAACGATGAGGGCTGCCAGAGCGACCTGGACGACAACGTCTCGCAAGGGAGCAGCGACGCGCTCCTCCTGCGGGGGGCGGCGGCCGCCGCGCCCTCGGGCCCCGGAGCGCCAGGCAGCGGGGGCGCGCTGGACAAGCGCTCTGGCTTCCTCACGCTGGGCTACCGTGGCTCCTACACCACAGTTCGCGACAACCAGGCAGATGCCAAGTTTCGGCGGGTGGCGCGCATCATGGTGTGCGGACGCATCGCACTGGCCAAGGAGGTGTTTGGTGACACGCTCAACGAGAGCCGCGACCCCGACAGACCTCCCGAGAAGTACACGTCCCGCTTCTACCTCAAGTTCACCTACTTGGAGCAGGCGTTCGATCGCCTGTCCGAGGCCGGCTTCCACATGGTGGCGTGTAACTCCTCGGGCACCGCCGCCTTCGTCAACCAGTACCGCGATGACAAGATCTGGAGCAGCTACACGGAGTACATCTTTTTCCGTAAGTTCACAGTCTCCGCATTTCCTGGTGGTCCCAGAATCCGATCGGGCTGGTGTCCCCTAGGAAACTGGTGAATTAATAGACGCCAGAGGTTCCCCCTGCACGCCCCAGTGGCGTAGCAGACCGGGTTTGCGCTTTCTCCTTTTGCCATCGCTCCCCTCTTGTCCTTCAAAAGCACGCAGTTCCCACGCGGTCCTCTTTCTTAACTTCATTGATCTTGCCCTGTTCCCTCCCTGCATCTGGAATCCCTGGGCTCACTTCTACTGCGGGGGGCAGGGAAGGGCCCTGGCAGCCCTGGCTGGGAGCGTAGGTTCTCCTCTCCGCTTCTGCCGGACTCCTGGGGATCAACTTCTGTGAATCTCAGTGCTTCCTCTCCAGAGGGCAGGTTGGCATGGAGGCGTCGCGGCGCACCTCCAGGATTACCTCCTCTTAGTGCTGGTCTAGCGCAGGAGAGTCCAATTACGGGTGATTTCGGAAAGGGGCAACTTGAGAAGCAATGAATGTGTCTCCAGAGTCCTTCCGGGAGCCGGGGTGTGAGAGCGGCTGGTGGGAAAGAGGTCTCCATCGACCCAGAGAAACCTCACATTTTCTCTGCGCCACTCGTCATCTGTAATTGCTCTGTGCTTTGGACAGTGGAGGGAACTGAAGAGTTTGGGTGGCTGTTGCCAAGCAGGGACTTGGCGTGTGCGTGTGCGTGTGCCTGCATGTGTGTGTGTGTGTGTGTGTGTGTGTGTGTGTGTGTGTGAGGGGTCGGGGAGAAAGAGAGGGACAGAGAGAGAGATTGTGTTTTCCTTCTGGGCATCTCAAGTGCGAAAGGGGAGTCGAGTTTCCTTTCCCAGGGGGAATAAACCCTAGGATACTCTGAACCAAGGGAATGAGGGAGAGGATTTAGAAAACGTTTGGCATGATGCTTTGTGTAGTGCACTTGGGGAGGAGGCCCTGTGGTTCAAGTTCAAGAACTCAGCCAAAAATCACTGGGGTGTGGGGGATGGGGAGGCGGGACAGGCTCAATTCTCAGTGTCGGTTTAGAAAGCGAGCAGGACCACATCTAGAGAGCTATTTGGGAAAATGAAAAGCCATCTGGGATGCAGCATTTGGCAAATGGATTTCCTTCTGCAAGACACAAGAAGCTTTGACATTTGCTATGAGGGAGAGTAGCATTGACCACTTATGAAACAGACCAGCTTTAATTGTATTTATTTATTTTGGTAATTTACTCATTGTTCTGGAGCTAGGCAATTTTCTGCACTTTATTTTGACTTGAGAAGTGGAAGGAATGTCTCCTTGCATAGCTGCATGCTTGACTGGAAGGTGCTCATTGTATATTCTAGTAACCTCGGAGGTAGGGTGACAAGACACAGCGGGCTTGGTCTTAGAGTTAGGTTGTCTTTTAGGATAATGCTGAATATTTTGAGAAAGCCATTTCAACAGAAGAAGTAGTATCCACTGAAGTGGTAGATGAGAATCTAATTGTCTTAATTATATCATAGTATTATTTCTTGTTGCACAATAAAAAGAAAAACCACCAAAACAAATGTATTATTCTATTGCTTATGTATAATAAGGCTTCTCTAATATATATTAAGTAATTAAACTATATTTATTATTACTCTTTACATTTTATCCCTTATCAGTGGGACCTTTATTAACATTTTAGATCTTAAACATTTATGTGATTTCAACATGGATATATTTTCAAGCATTTCAGGAGATGAGGTGAAAGGAACTTTTGACTTTCTTGTGGTTAGTGATTTTTTTTAGAGAAGATAAAGTTAAGTGTTCTACAGTTTCGTTTCTTGCATATTGGAATCTTCCAGTTTTGGTTTTTCTTTTTCCTTGAGAAAGTTGTGGGCTTAAAAATGTTCATTAGTTTCATTTTAAAGAGGTAACAAAAGGTTATTGCTTAATTATGAAAAGAAATGTTTTAAAGAGCATACTGAAGTTGGAAACTCAGTCAATTTAACTAATAAGATAATTTGAGAGATATTTGGAATTCAGAATATTTCACTTCTGGAGCAAGTATAGAGCATGTAATTATCTTGTTTAGTGGTCCCTATTTAAAATGAATATCAGTGTTATTCATTAAAATCAAAATTATTGGATGAATTTCCCTTTTGACACAGTGCTTTCAACACATATTTATGTAGTATATAACATGCATAGCCATTTTAACACCTTTTTACATTCAGGCTCTATTTGAACTTAGTTTGAACCTTTTCTGAAATCTATGAAACTGTAGTTTATACACTTGCCATTTGCCAAATGTGTGATATTGGTTAAATTATTTATTTGTTGTATGTCTCAGTTTCCTCATCTGTCTGATATACTATAGTACCAATTTAATAGTATTTGAGGATACATGTAAAATGCTTAAAACAGTATTTGACCTGCAATAAAAACTTAACAAGTTTAACCATTAAGAATTATAATTAAGAGAGTGCAGCCTTTATTATTCCTATTAATATTAAATTTTAATTTTTATAGTATGTATAGTTGATTTAATTGTAAAGTTAATTGGAAATTTATTTGGCAATTAAACGACAGCATAATAAACTTTCAGAAGTGTGAAACAAGCAATTTAATAACTAACTTCTTTCCTGGAACTGTGATTTTTTTCAGGCCAAGTTCAAGACACCTAGATTTGCCCATCATATTCCAGTTAGTTTTTTTGGATTAACTCCAGCAGAATTCTTTTCTGATTCAAGGCCAAGCAGTGTTTTAATACTCTCCACCAGGACCTGAAACTTTGGCAGTATTTTCTGACAAGCACTGAGCTAGATTTATATCTCCTTAAGTGCTTGTATCCAAGTCATTGGGTTCTAACGCTAAAGGTTATATACAGGCTATTAAACATTTAATACCAGCTTCATTTGGCTACATGGACACATTCATTCTGAGTCTTTTTAATAAAGATTTTATTTATTTATTTTTTAGAGAGAGGGGAAGGGAGGGAGAAAGAAAGGGAGAGAAACATTGATGTGTGGGGGAAACTTCCATCCATTGCCTCTGGCAAACCTCTAACTAGACTTGTGCCCTGACCAGGCATTGAACCATCAACCCTTCAGTTTGTTGTGTGATGCCCAGTCTCCTAAGCCATACCAGTCAGGGCAGCCACACCAGTCAGGGCTATTCTGAGTCTTAACTCATTATTTTATCAAGTCTTTTAGACTCTGCAACATATACTAGTACTATTGCACTTTATATTTCTCTTCTAATGCTTAAGATGGATTGTCCTTTCTTGAAGAAAAATGGTGATTTATGGGGCTTTTTATAGAGTGTGTCTGTTAAGTGCATTTATGGCTGTTTTTAACAATATCTGGGAGACAAAACATTGCCATTATATTACATGGACCATACATAGTTATCTGCTTGGAATGTGATACACGGGCCACCAATACTTAAAACTAGCATTGCATGTATCCTTTTTGTCTCAAAATCAGTAGGCTTACAGACACATAGTCTTGATTAATTGTTCTTCTCTTAACGGTGCTTCCAGTTTTGTTGGCTGAGTAATATGTTGTGCAAAAGTACACTTTTCTTGAGGATTTCTCTTGGTATTCTTTAGTTCAGTGTATCTTTTTTGTTGTGATACATGAAATTAATTAAAAATTAATGCTATCACTGAACTAGGCTGTGAAATCTAATTTGTCTTACTATATTTTTATATCCTCTCTTTCAAATTCTGATTTAATTCATTCGGTTGGGTTGAAGAAATCTAGTCAAGTTGGAAACCTTAAAACAGCTATTCAATCCTATGTTAACAGAGCTGTTGAATTAAAATCTTTCTAAGAAACATCTTCAAAAGATACAATGTTTCTAAGAAACAGTCTATTTAGATGAATATATTTAAAATTATATGTTATTTTCCAGTGTAAAGACACATCTACTTTTATCACCAAACTTTGTTTTGTGGAAAACAACTTTGTTAATCACTTTTTAAGTTGGTTCTTTTCCTCCTGAAAACATATTAGTTATTTTCATAATCATAATGTAAAAATTTTTCCTGAAACCACATGGTTGAATAACCTTTGGATCAGAGGAGAATAAGAAAAAGGAAAAGACAACTTTATAAAACAGCAAGGCTCCTGTTTCATGTAAATAATTGCAATAATAAAGCAAACAAAATCGACAAAAACCTTGGAGCACAAAAGGTTTGTCAGCTGTGCCATGACATTGCTTCCTATTTGAGGGCATTAAATGTTTATATTTGGCATAGTACTGTCTCTAAACTTGATCTTTTTTATAGCTTAGAATACTAGAACTTAGGTAACACATTGGGTGTTACCTTTCCCTGCTGCCATTTCTACAGCTTCTTGTTGGTCCATCGGTGTGCAGATGAGGAAGCTGAAAGACCAAATGGTATTGCAAGCCTTGTTTGGCAAAGTTCTTTCTTTTAGAGCTTAGAATACTAGAACTCACACTTTGTGTGTGTATGTGTGTGTGTGTGAGAGTGTGTGTGAGTGTGAAAATGTCATAGGCAGTTTTAGGAATTTTATACAAGAAAAGTAAAATTTTAAAAATGATCATCAGTAATGGCTAATAAAATCTTGGTTCATTTCCTTCCAGTCTTCATTATATGCATACATAGATGGTAAATATTTTTTAAAAGTTATGATTTATATTATGTAGATGGTTTGTCTGCTGTCTTTGTTTTGTTTTATACTCAATACATTTAATGACATTTCCTCCATGACATTACCTTCTTTATTGTCTTCTTATATAATACAGTATAATGCAAGTCCTTTGCCTCAGGCGATATTATAAGTATTGGTGTTGAATATTCTCCCTACAAGTTAGGAAGTATTTGACTGTTTTAAAAGTACAGAATGTGTAGTAAAAAGAACATTTACTAAGTACCTAAATTTGTGATGTGTTTTATGTACAACTTTGTTTACTTTTTGTAACATTCCACTTAAATTTCAAGTGTTAACGTAGTTGTATGCTCTTCTTATGCAGATTAAATTTACCTTGTGTGATGAAACACATTTTTAGAAGGTGGC